ACCACATAAGCAAAAAGAAAAAAGCCGAAAGTGGCGCTGTGGCTCAAGCGGTAGAGTGCTAGCCTTGAGCTGAAGAGCTGAGGGACAGCGCCCAGGCCCAGAGTAAAAAAAAAAAAAAAGAGCTTTACAGCTTGAGAGGGGGAGGGAGAAGTTGGGGAGTTGGGGAGGAAAGGGATGGTAGGGGGGAAAACAAAGGAGGGGATAACAATGCTTGATAGGAAATGTACTCATTACCTTACTCATGTAACTGTAACCCCTTTGTACGGTATCTTTACAATAAAAAATATATTAAAAATTCCTATTTTCCTCATTGTATCACACAAAGCCACCTGTTGTTCCTCTAGTAATCTCATCAGCACCTGCTTCAGGTCCTTTGAACTTGCTTTTTCTCCACATAGAACTCACCAGAGCCACTGTGTGGTTTACTCCTGTCATCCTCCTCAAAGAGAGTGACTGACCACTCTTGTTGGAGTCACTCTCTACCCTCCACTGTGCTTGCCACTGCATGACAGCATGTATTTTTTTGGTTTTGGCCCATTCTCCACACTAAGGTAAGCTCCATAAGAGCAACAACATTTGCTAATCTGTTCACTGTTATCTGTACCCAGTGCCTAGAATAGAAGGCACTCAAAAATTCCTTTTTCAAATAAATTAACAAATCATAAATGTGATGAGAAGCCCTTCCAACAAGTACCGCAATTGCACTCTATTTACCTGTATCGGTGAATCAGTGCATTGAACATCTTTCCATCGCTCCAACAGGAAGAAAAGTTGGTGCATTTGATTCCTGTGTAACCAGCTGTCACCTTCTGAGTCCAAAGGAGTAGCTTCTCCTTGGCAGACATGTCTCCTGATTCCCCACTAATGTAGATGTCAGAGATCTGCCAAGAGATAGAATATGGAATAAATAAGATGAGGCCTTTTAACTTTCATTTTCCCATATATCATAATTTGTGAAGGAAGAGAGACATCCAAGGATGGCAGCACTGTTGATGACAGCTTCAACATATATTTACCTCCTCTGGTAATGAGGAAAAACACAAATGAAAAACATGAAAAGTCACCTACGAAACTAAAGATTGATATGTTTTAATGATGTTAATGAGTACTGGACAGAATATCTTAAGTTGGATAGACTTGTAGGAAGAGTGTACTAGTCAGAGTATAAATAGCAAGAGTGAATATTATCATTTTTGGATGTCAGTTATTAATCAAGTTTTATAAGACATACAGCTTGATAAAATATAATCAGGTACATGTATAAAAATTTTACACAAAAATGCTTATGAATATAAGAAAAGAAGATGTCAGCAAAAAGCTTAAACTAATAAGGGATTATTAGTTACAAAGTATAGAACCTACTAAGATATGTTAAAAGGAATACAATGGAAAAATATAATACCAATTTTATATGAAGGAAAAACATATTTAAGTTTGTATAGTACTTAGTATAAACCCTATAGTTATATATAAGCATTGTGCAAATATGTATATGATACAAATACAAACATGCACGTAAATATAAACCTGGAGTGAAGCCCGGCGTTGGTGGCTCTCACGCCTGTAATCCTAGCTACTCAGGAGGCTGAGATCTGAGGATCATGGTTCAAAGCCAGCCTAGGCAGGAAAGTCCATGAGACTCTTATCGCCAATAACCACCAGAAAACTGGAAGTGGCACTATGGCTCAAGCTCAGCCTTGAGCTGAAGAACACAGGGACAGCACCCAAACCCAGAGTTCAAGCCCCACAACCGACAAAAATAATAATAATAATAAAATTAAAAATTAAAAAACCTGGAATGCAATACTAAAAACTAAAAATCATAGTTATCTCTGTGTGATAACATCACAGGCAGTTTTTATGTCTTCCTAATTTTCTATATCATGTACATTTTTATAATAGAATAAAACTACTTGAAGAAATTTCCAAAATATAAGACCTACCTTGGAACAATGGCAGGGCAGAACAGGAAAATGTCCATACCTTGGTTTGAATGCTAGCATGTCCAGTTGCAAATTCTGCTGTCACAGATTTGTGACATCTCTGAAAATACTACCTATCATCTTTTCAGAGGTGCTGTGATAATTTCTGGAGCCTGTTCACTGAGTGTGATGCTATTCACATGGGTGGCCTTCAACATGGTTTATAAATAAAATATTAAAAAAAAAAAAGTGCTGGGCTGGGAAGGTGGCTCGGTGGAAGAATGCTTACCCAGCATACACAAGGCCCTGGGTTTGATTCCTCAGCACCACATAAGCAGAAAAAGCCAGAAGTAGTGCTGTGGCTTAAGTGGTTGAGCAGCTTTGAGCTGAAGAGCTGAGGGACAGCACCCAGGCCCAGAGTTCAAGCCCCACGATCAACCAAAAACTAAAAAACTAAAAAATAGAAGTGCTTAGCAGTAAAGCCTATTCCTAGAACCCAGCCAAGCTACTATTTTTTTTAAGGTCTTCTTTTTTTGGTCTTTTGCTTTTTTGTCAGTTGTAGGGCTTGAACTCAGGGCTTGGCTACTGTCCCTGAGCCTCTTTGTGCCCAAGGCTAGCGCTATACCACTTGAGCCACAGTGCTACTTTTGGGCTTGGTGTTTTTTTGTGTGTTTTTTTTTTTTTGAGTGGTGAACTGGAGATAAAGGTCTCATGGGGACATTTCTGCCAAGGATGGCTTTGACCTCAATCATCAGATCTTAGCCTCCTGAGCAGCTAAAATTGCAGGTGTGAGCTACTGGCACTTAAACAACTTTTTAATAGCAAATCCAATGTAACACAAGTTTAGGCTATTGCTAATATTCATGTTTTCCTTGAAGAGAAACTATGAGTAATTTTACATCCCTTCTACTTTTCTTTTATTCAGACTTGAAAAGATAGCCAGCTTTGTGTGTAAGTGAGTGCACGCTGCTTCTGGGGCTTGAACTCAGGGCCTAGGCTCTGTCCCTGAGCTTCTATTGTTTAAGGCTTAGCACTCTACCACTTGAGCCACATCACTACTTCTGGCTTTTTCTGAATAGTTTATTGGAAATAAAAGTTTTGTGGATTTTCCTGCTGGCTTCAAAGCAGGATTCTCGGATCTTCAGGCTCCTGAGTAGCTAGGATTTCAGGCCTGGTGCACCAATGCTCTGCCTACTTTACTGAAATACATAAAAATAATCTTTTTGGGGGGAGGGCAGTCCTGGGGGTTGAACTCAGGTGACCTAGGCTCTGAACTTGAGCCTTTTTACTCAAGGTAGCATTCTACCACTTGAGCTACAGTTCTACTTCTAGCCATTTTGGCAGTTAACTGGAGATTACTTTTCTGCCCAGGCTGGCTTTGAATCACTATCCTCAGATCTCAGCTTCCTGAGTAGCTAGGATTACCAGTGCCTGGCTTTTAAAATAATCTTGACTAACAAAAGAAACACAAGCTTAGGTATCAAATATGTGATTGAAAGGAAGCATTTAAGAATGTGACCTTAGAGAGAGGTGCTGGTGGCTCACGTCTGTAATCCTAGCTAATCAGGAGGTTGAAGTATGAGGATCACAGCTCAAAGCCAGCCCAGGCAGGAAAATTCCGTGAGACTCTTATCTTCAATTAATCACCAGAAAACTGGAAGTGATGCTGTGGCTCTAAGTGGTAGAATGGTAGCCTTGAGTGAAAGAGCTTAGGGACAGGGCCCAAGCCCCAAGTTCAAGCCCCTAAACCGACAAAAAAAAAAAAAAAATGTGACTTTAGACAAACTGCTTAAGCCTACTGAACTCCATTTTCTCCACATTAACCATAAGATAATAACTTTCTCACAGATCCTTACATGGATTAATAGGGAAATGTAGGTAATTACTAGAAAAGTTCTTTCTTTCCCATGATAATAAAACAGCATGTCCTGCACAATTTTGGTACAAGCATCATCCTGTTACGTAATTGCCTCTATCAGGTGCAGCACCTGGAAAGTAGCAGCCTTCCTGTGGTAAGTATAAGAGGCAATCAGGTATTAAAACATCATGGTTTTCACTTTGAGTAGTATTCAATTCAATTCAATTGTATATTATTCAATAAATTGCATGTTATTAAATTTTTGTTATTAGAAATAAGGCTTTCCATAGATGAGTTTGCCCAACTTTAGGTAAATGTAAATGTTCTGTAGAATTTAAGCTAGAATAGGTTAAGCTATGATGTTTGGTAGGCTATAAGCAATAAGTCCGTTTTTAAGTTACAATGGGTTTATTGGGTGCTTTTATATTTTAAAATCAGAAAAAAGCAGGATCAGGAACTTTAACACCTTATTGAGGGTAAAATAAAAATTATTAAGATATTTTAGTATAAAAACAGAAACTCATGGAGAATAGAAAGAGGAATTTGGGAAGTAATACATATACACCTGCAAAGGTAAAAAGGTGCCCTAGGTCTGGGAATATAGCTTAGTGGTAGGGTGCTTGCCTAGTCTGCGTGAAGCCCTGAGTTTGATTCCTCAGTAACACATAAACAGAAAAGGCTAGACATGGCACTATGGCTCAAATGGTAGAGTGTGAACCTTGAGCAAAAGCAGCTCAGGAGTGCCCAGGCCCTGAATTCAAGACCCAGGACTGGCAAAAAAAAAAAAAAAGGTGCCCTAACCATTAGATTCAAAAGCATCATGTCCCAAGGGCATCATCTCCTTCACATGTACATTACACTACAGGAGAAATCAGGTTACTGCAATTTAATGATGCCAGTTAATAAGATTATCCTATGTATCTATTCTCTACTCACTATCTTTCTGCTCTGCCTCCATGCATACCAGAAAACTTTTAAATTATTGTCTCTTTTTCATATAGAGTCACAAAAGCAACAATACACTGGTTGATGAAAATTTTAATTTGGCAGTTAAAATTCACTTGTAAATTAATTCATATCAGTCTCTTGCAAGTGTGACCTATCAATTCTAAGTACACTGGGGTAGGGAGAGAGCTACAAAGCTACAAAGCTGAGGACCCAACAATACACAGCCCGTCTCTTGTACTAATTCTTTTTTAATTCCCCTAACAACATTTCTACCTGCCCTTCTTCTACCTGACATTATTAAGAAAGCAAAACATTGAGAGGAATATGACATCGATTTGGAGAAATAAAAAGGGATAAAATTTGAATAAGAAAAATGAAATTTGAATATTTTGAGGAACCTAAACTGAAATATAGTTAATATTGTGTCTGGTATAATGATAGCAAATCTCTGTTGATATCTCCCGCCTGCCAATCACAGAATTTCTGCACAGAACACTGAAACTATTGCAACGAACAGTTTTAAAATACAGCTTCACTGAGACAGGAAAACATTTGGCTCCCTAAAGAGAAGGAAAAAAATACCATCTGGATTTGAGCCCTTCCTAGACTGTAAAATGGGATTATGGTCACAAGCATCTCACTGATTAAATTTGGCTTTTGTTCATCTTTTTTTTGTAATACTGATGTGTGATATGTGTGATATGTTGTCCTCTAGGTTCTGCAGCAGCATTTTCTCTAATCCCCCTGAATATCGAGATCCAGATTCAGGGAAGTTTCTCCCTCATCTAGGTTTTAATCAGGAAGCCATTTGGAGAGAACACAGTCAATTTTGATATCATGCCAGTAACTATTTATGTCTACTTGAATATCCTTTGATCCCACACTTCCCAATGCCTAGTTAATTTCCTCTCTGAAGCATTCCTGGAAACTTAATGTTTCCCAATAATTCAGTATGTATTGAACATCATTTTAACCCTATGCCAGGCACCATGGAGAACAAAAAAAGTCACAGGCTATGTATTCTTTTTATTATTTTGTATTGTGTTCTAGGAGATATGTTTAACTTCTTGATATTTAAAAATAAAACATAGGGCTGGGAAGATGGCTCAGTGGTAGAGTGCTTGCCTTCATGCATGAGGCCCTGGGTTCGATTCCTCAGCACCACATAAGCAAAAAGAAAAAAGCCAGAAGTGGCACTGTGGCTCAAGTGGTAGAGCGCTAGCCTTGAGCTGAAGAGCTGAGGGACAGCGCCCAGGCCCAGAGTTCAGGCCCCATGACAGGACCCCAAAAAATAAATAAATAAAACATAACCTGAGACCTTAAGTTCAACCAATTTGGTAACGAAGGCAATTTAGTATGCAGAGTTATTTTAGAAAAGAAGTAAGCAAGTAAGTAAATCCAACTAGCATGAAACTTCTGGGAAATGACAGCAACTGTGCTGAGTTCTAGTGAGTAACCAAGTGAAAATAAAGAGAAAATTAACAAAAACAACAACAAAGACAAGCTTGCTTTACAAAACTTAGCTGAGATATACCATATCTGACTGAAATAAAGCTATCTCAGATATCTTCCCAATGACAACAGATTGGGGTGGGGGAGGTAAAAGATGGACAGAGGAAGGAAAACTTTGTGTACAAACCTATAGATATTTACTTACACCTGTACATACTTTTTTTTTTTTTTTTTGCCAGTCCTGGGTCTTGAATTCAGGGCCCCA